GGCAATGATTCCTTTGGTGTGCATTGCCCAATGAAGACCGCACCATCGGAATGTGATATCAGGAGTGGACGCTCTCTTGACGTACCTGCAACTTTGGAATTGTAGTAACTTGTAGTAAGTATGACTACTCCTCCCAGCGGCGTTTATGTGTGCCTTCGACCGGCATTATGTCAAAGGGCCGGGCGTAGCCGCTTGCTTGTCCAGTGATCCTTTTGCAAACAACCTCTTGCCGTCCTTCGCGTTTAACACTACCTGATGCCTGCTCCAGCGAAACTTGATCTGCATCTTGATTCATACCTTGAGTTTTGCCTTGATTGAGTCAAACTTGATCTGTACTTTGATTGTTTCACAACAGACCGCGACAGGAGCCAGCACCCAAGCTTCAACTGGGCGGGACCGGACGACGACACACGAGGCCAGGACCCAAGCTTTACATGGGCAGGACCCGTACCCCGGACGACACATTTTAAGCGCACCATGACGTGGCTGCGGCTTTGACCTGCGAAACGTCAAGGTAAGCCCAGGACGACGACAAGAGGCCAGGACCGCAAGCCTCAACACCCTTACCCCAGAACGCTTGTTACCAGCATAATGACGAGGCTGCGGCTTTGACTTGCGAACCGCTATGAATGATGCTCGATCTCTCTCAGCTACTCACCAACAAGGGGAGTGGCTCTGTGCGTGAGTAATGTAGCACAAGGGACATGTTAACGACGCACGACGTGCAGCTGTGGGCCCAAGTGCGTCTGAAAGTTTCTGCTCCGTCGTCCTTTGCCGAATGGCGGCCTGCAGTTGCAAGGAGGTCATGATTGCCGTGCGGGCATTGGAACAGATGGCTGATCATTCCGGTCTCTTCGACGCGGGCTTTGAACAGATTCGTCACTTATTCGTCATGTCATTCTTGAAGCCTGGACGCAGACATGTGCATCGGACCGTGATCTCCCGACACCCTGCCTTGACTTGTTGACAACTTTGAAATGTGATTCGAATGTGCCTGTTCAGACAGCAACCCCTTCTAGGGGCTATCGGCATGTTTCAGGATAGAAAGATGTGTGCATTGACCCCTATTTGGGGTGGAGCACAAGCAAGCCTTCAGTTCATTTTGCAAGCGGTGGATCTCAAGGAGCAGGACGGGCTGCGATACAGGAGCACCTCAGCGGTGAGTGAATAAGAGGCTTGTTTCACACCGTAACATGTTTGTTAGTGTCCGGCATTGTGTTAGGGCTCAAGATGGCAGAGGAATTGTGGAAGACCCTGCGAGTCAGTGGGTTAACAGATTTCGCGCCGACTTTTGTGCGTTGTCGGGTCCTTGATGTGTGTGAGATCAGCGGACTTTCTCACAGAGCCTGCTGTAAAGAAAGCGAACAAGAAAGCAGCGTTGGCAGCTGCTCGACCGGAGAATCGCAAGCAGGCAGTAGCGGCATTAGCGGACTTGGACAGAGATGTGTTGGCAGCAAGTACCATGTCTTCTGATGCATCGCGAGTAAGATTCTATCGGGAGATTTGTGCTGCTTGGGAGCTGGAGGCATGGCCTGGCCATTGAGCCATTGAGCGCGACGAACATTCGTGCCTTCGGTGCTTTCCTGAAAGCTGGTTCGTTTACTTTAGTGCCATTGTGCGTCATCAGATTCGGCATCTTGGAACTGCCTCCAGCCGCGAGATCATGCGGTGCATGCAGGACACGAAGAGAGCAGTGTTGAGGGGGGCGGGCCCCTCAAAACTGAAGGATCGTTATCATGTTCCGGTCCTGGCTCGGGTGTTGCAATCCGAGCCGGGCGAAGCAGGTTGCAAACCCAGTTCACATGGCGGATGCGATGATGCTGTGCGCGTGGTGGATGTTGGGAGAGATCTCAGTAGTGCACAAATCGGGCACGACTCGGTGAATACGGTCTTGAGGGAGGTTAGTTACGCTCACCTTGGCGGTGCAGAAGACAGACACCAAAGGCCTGACATGTTCCAGGACCTTGAGATGTGCGTGCCGCATTGCCAAGCAGACGATGTGTCCGTATCATAGCATGCGGCGCCACTTGCAGAGATCGGCTAACTTAGGCCCATCGGCGCTTTCGTCGAGGGCACCACTGTTTCCAGGAACAGGGGGCCATACGAAGGCCGAGGTGATTCAGGCCACGAGGGCAACGCTGAAGGCCGAAGGCCTGCGGTGTGGAGACCACGCGGGTGGTTCAGGATCACGAGTTTGAAAGATTCACGGGACATGTATGAGGATCAGTGGGATGCAGTGGTTGCACAGCCTCGGCGTTCCTTTTCAGATGCTGCAAGTGCTGGGGCGCTGGGCGAGCCTGACGATTATGAAGTACCTGAAATCGGCCGCACTTGAGGCGGTGCCGGAGGTTGCAGCAGCCGGGTTGGCCCAAGGCCGGGTGGCTTTACGCCAGGTTGATGGTTGGGACTTTGCCCAGCCATCGGCGGCAGCATTGGAAGTGTGGCAGCCTGTCGTTGAGTTGACGGACTCCGATGTGGATCGCGAGCCGAGGCAACCTAGGGTTTGGAAGCGGCGGAGCACCAAGGAGCCGAGGACATCAGCGGCTGAGGAAGACTCCGCTGGCATTGGTCATGTTGAGGTCCGCGGGGGGTCGGATTCCCAGGGTCATGATTTCGCGAGTCGAGCGCATGTTGTAGACCTCCAGAGGGAGATTGTCTTGATCCAAGAGGCACTGAGCAAGTTTCAGTGTGAGACGACATACATCGTGCAAGGGCGGACGAGGCGCCATCATTTGAGCGGCACACCGGAGCGTGCCAACCATCCATCGGCGTGGGCTACCGCTTGTGGATGGCGGTACGGATTGAGCAAATTCTATGGGTTTAGGGTTTGCGCTGTTGCAGATGTTTTCAGTTGGAGAAGGAGGGCCCGATGAGCCCGGCCCCGCTTCGCCCTCTGATTCCGGTGATGCTTCTCTAGCAGTCCAGAAAGTAGCCGTTCGTCTAGGTCCGATCAGGGCAGATAGCATGGCAAGAGCCAACAGCGGATCCTCACACCGAGGGCGTGAGAACAAACCCCTCGACGGCGGGTCGAAAGAAAATTAAAAGGTTTAGGTGGTTGGTTGCCGGTTCTGGTTCGGTGGGATTCTTTAGCAAGCCACAGCATGATTCTTGCCAGGACATCGAGCACTACAACATCGACATCGACTGCATGATGACATCCAGGCAGCCCAGGCAGATCGAGTGGTCGTTTGAGCGAGCGGTAGCGTTTCACAGGTGGAATACATTGCCGATTGGGTGGCACAGCTTGGACTAAAGGTCTGCTTGCAATTTGACACTCCGCGAGAGGTGAGCGTTCGACCCAGTGCGAGATGGCGAGCACCCTGTGGGCGGTGCTCGACCACATAGCAAGAGGCCCGACCAGGAGGGACCAGGCGGCTTACATTGGCTTCATCGGGGTGGTGGCCATGACCAAGGTCACAGTGAACGGAGTGAACATGGCAAGGGCAAGGGCAAGGGCAAGGGCAAGCATAAACATGGTAAAGGCAAAGATCGCCCCACAACATGGCAGCCGTGGCGGACAGGAGGCACTCAGAAGCAGTGGCAGCGCGAGTCATGGTCACGACAGCAGCGGCGTGACGATGATCGCCGATCGGATGAGTAGGGACAGCTCGGGGCCTCATCATCGAATGAGGTGTACCCGGCACGGCTGTCAGGACAGAGGTGCTATAACCAGGACGATCGAGGGATGCGACTCCTACCACTTCGTGGCGATTCAGCTCTACCTGTGCCTGGTTTGGCGGATTGCCCGGACATGATACTCGATCTTGTCATTCTTTGATGGGGTGGGAACCGCTGCTTTGCCGCTGAGCTCGATGGGGTTGAGATTGAGGGCGTGCTTTGAGTGGGAGAGTGATCCTTGCGCGGTGGCCGTGTCGATCCGGGCATGCAATTGCCTCAAGTTCAATCGGGGTGACCTTCTAGCTGACTCCCCCGAGCATGCTGACCGAGCACAAGTCCCTGGTCATCGCTACCGTCGGCCCGCCTTGCTCGGATTACTCCCGGATGCAAGGAGCTGCGCAGGGCAGGGAAGGTGCCTCGGGCTAGTTGTTCCTCAAGTTCGCCGGGCCGAGTTCCTCGAACAGCTGGAAGGTTTCATGCAGTGTCAGTTCCCCATTCTGGTTGAGAACGTGATGATGCAGAGCCGAACGCATCTCGAGGGGACGCATCCGCGTTCGGCATGGTGAGTCGACCTTGATGGGCACGGATCGCAGACAAAGCGTATCATCCAGGTCAACCTTTGAAGTGGGGCAAGGTTGAGGGCATGCATAGGTTGCAACTCGGTGTTGACAAAGATAGACCTGACTCCTTCGAGATGCCCAGGCTCCAGTTCCATGCCGATGTCCTCAATCAGAAGCGGCTCATACCTTGCCTTACAACCCCAGCCCCAACAGAAGCGGGCAGGCCAGCAACAAAGCGTCAAAGGACGTATGAGTCCTGAGGTGAAACAACGTTGGCTTGAAGGAGGCCAACAATATGCACCATTTACGAGGCCCATGGCATGGTCAGCGGCCTTGACGTCGTTCCGGGCGTAGCTGGCGAACATGCAGCCGAAGATTGTGCCCTTCATCGACGACAGGGCGCTGGCGGCCATCATATACGCCGACGCTTTTTACAAGCCCGGCGAGACCCGCAGTACTGTAAGGCCGGCCGGCCACATCCCGGCGGAGGTGCCGATCAAGCCGGGCACCCGCGGCCTCAATGGGTGGGGGTATATGTGCCCCGGATCGGAGACCAGGTCTTCTGAAGACTGTGGCATGGCACCGGCGGAATTCCTCGAGCTTTTCTCGTCGAGGAAGGCCTTCATACTGGCTGGGAAATTGCCGGCGAGATGGCTGGCGTTCATCCACAACGTTGCTGGCCAGTGGGCCCTCACACAGGGCTATGGAAAGGACGAGGCGGCCAGCGGCGAGCTAGCCGCCTTCCGCTCCACGGGAGCTCGGTGCGACCGGCTGCAGCGCGTGCCGTGCAAAGCAATGTCATGTGGCGACCTCAGCATGGCCACGTCGATGGGCTGGCGGCTGGACCAGAATGCGCACACCGACGGCCAGCATCATTTCGCAGTGCACGACGATGCCGCCAAGAAGCTGGTGAATCTGGCGGTCTGAGGGGGCTGCCGGTGATGCAGAAGCGTCCCCGGCGCATCCCGGCGCCGGCCAGCCCAATACTGGCGGTTGCGACGCATCCCGGCGCCATGCGCTTTCATACCATCCAAAAAAAGGTATGCCCGTCATAGCTCTTTTGGATTCTCGTCGGTAGTCGGTCTTGTTTGCTCTTCTGCTTGTTTGCCTGTCATGGCGTTGTGTTTCCCCGTTTGACTCTTCGTTTGTATTTGTCATTGTTCATCTCTTCGCCTCGCTCTCATTGCTTGATGCGACAATGCACGTCGCACAATGTGCAACCACAGGTCGAGAAGAATTCCTTCCTTCAGTTCTTCGATGTGATATTTGGCAATTCTCAACAGGCAAAGCTGGACGGCATTGCAGGGCAAGCTGTCACCGTGTTTGCTCTCCTTCACCAGGTAAGCATTGCCATTCCCTCGCAACCGTTTGACTGGAAAGACTTCCTCTTCTACGGCAGGGGTATCATGAAGGAGGCTCCAAAAGCCGCCATCGATGCCATGCAGCGGCACAATGGCAGCCTGCCACGGTTGCAACATCATCCTGATCTTCAGCACATTCTCTTGCACTGCGCTTCATTGCGGCATGCCTTGGACATTGCTTGGACTTTTGCCGATCGTCCAGAAGAGTTCGTCAGCAAAATGGGGGCCTACGTCTGTGTTCGCAGAGGATGCGAGGACTTGGAAGCAGATGATGAGTGTCGAGTCATCCAGGACGTGCTGGTTAACGGCGAGTGTTTGTCTCAGGAAGGCTTGTCTCAGTGGCTGCACGTCGCTTTGACGCGTCATTTGTCCAGAGACCTTGTCCAGTTGCTGGAGTTGCTAGCTCCAGTGAGCTATTCTGACAAGATTTTGCAAGCTTTGCACAACATTCGACAAAAGACCCAGCCTTTGTGCATGGACATGGGCCATGCGTGCACATTCGTCCAAAACCATCCAGAGCACTGGCTGTCCTCATGGCTACTTTCCAACATGTGCTGCTACGTCGGACATTCCAGATTCGCGTGCATCACCAGCTTCAATTGGGACAGTCTCGTGAGTGCTGCTGGCGCAGTGTTGGCTGTTCGTGGCGACGACTTCCGTGGCGAGCCAGGACAGCAATGCACGCGTAGTTGTTGCAAGTCCATGAGCTGTGGACCTCGCCGTTCTGTGTGCAGGCTTCCTGTGGGCAGTGCAGACTTTGAAATCGTTTCAGGGCTCCGGCCATCCAGCAAACTTCTTGGCAGCGCTCCTGCGCTTGCTGCGCCAGCCGTGGTGTGGAGCAAGCACTGATGCTTCTTTCAAGCATTGCAGGTTTCATGTTTGGTGCTTCTGTGGACTCGTGCAGATCTCACAGCATGTTTTGCGTCAGGATGCTTTCACGCAGCACCGCCGCACCGGAGAACTCAAGCAACTCCTGCAGCGTGACATTCCATCGCTCGTGGAGCTGCCTTTCGAGTTCTGGCAAGAACTCCTTCACGAAGAGGCCGGGCCGGGTTCGTCTCCTCCATCTGAAGAGTATGACAACCGTGCGCAGTGACGCTCAGGAGCCTGTGTCTGCAGCCTGGGCATCATCATGCGGAGCCTGGTTGGTGCATGCCATCGCGATGGCATCACTTCGTTGCTATCCACAGCTGTGCACCGAACGTGCTATGCATTCCTACGAAATGGCAGAGAAGGTGCTGACTACGATGGACCGCTTTATCAGATCCTGTCCAGATGGCCCGACATGCAAGAGCTGCTAGGCCAAGACTCATAAGCAAACTGGCATTTCGGGGCTCTGCAACAGTGGATCGGGTTTTGAGTGTGACCGAGAATCTGAGAAAACCAACCACAACATGTTCAACCTTAAGCAGCTGTATGCGTAGAACTCCACAACATTCCGACTGCGCGATCAGCAGAACCACAGGATCAACAGCTAGCTGAAGACACCCCCCAGCAGGCTTCCTCGCGAGTTCACATCATGGACTTAGCACTCTGCAGCTTCGACGGTTAGCGTTTCAGCAGTTCTTACGATCCAGTTCTTGTTGAAAGACTCTACAGGTTCAGGGGCAAGGATGGCCACGTGGGCACGACCAGCCAAGGAGAGCAAGCACGTGATACAAGAGAAGTAGGCTAAATACATCGCCACGAGTTCCCCCTCGAAGCAGGTGTTGTCCACCCAAGCGCCTTCTTCAGTGGCTCTCATGACATCTCATGACCTCGCTGAGGCTTCTTTGTTTTGGTTGTGCTGCTTCGGAGCATGGCCCCGGTTCTTGCGCACTTTGACTTGGCAAATTCAGTGGAATTGTCAGCTCTTCCCGAGATCTCCGCCTCTTTGAAAATGGCACTCTGCTTCCATCGGAACTTGGTGAACGCCGGATACGAGGAATACAGCCAGCCTTTTTGGTCGGAGTTGCTGCACCCGTTGGTCTCCTTCTTCGAGGGTGCCAAGCAGGTGCTAAGTCACGACATTGAGAGCTTGACAGTGGAGACTGCTGACCAGCTCTTTCAATCGAGGGTGAGGTGGATGCAGGTTCAGGATGTGATGCGAGAGTGTCAAGGATGGGTGGCTCCTCAGAACATCTTTGACAGGCGCGAATATGAGCAAGAGCACGCAGAGGTTGCCCAATTAAGCAAGATCTTGCAGTGGTTGGCCGATCGGGACATAGAGGGCTGTGCCGGGCTTCTTCAGGAAATCGACTTGGGCGCCTCTTCCCTCACCTTAAAGAGGCTGCGTACTCATCGCAGACGCGTGCTAAGGGAACTCATGCCACTACAGTCGAACCTGAAGCTGTTGCAGCATTTCGTCGATCGCGAGTCCCAGTTCTTCAATGCTGCAGTACTACTGCAAGCGACAGAGCATCCAGGGCAGACCATGGCAGATGCTGCCTTCTGGGTGCTTGAAACAGACCGCCTCATCCAAGCATTACTTCGTACGGACATCAAGCTACAGGATGCCAAAGTATTCATCGACATGACGCAACAGGTGCGGAGTGGAGTGGAGGGGAGGGAGTTCAGATGTTCCTTGTGATGAGACTGCGCCGCAGGTCAACATTCCGGACGAGCTTGCCAAGATCACGTCCTTCGAAGGCTATGCGCACACCAGCGAGGAGCTGCCGGCAACTATTCAGCGAGCCTTGAAGCTTCTGCAGTACTCTGTTGCTGCCCATGTGGTGGCTGCGGTCGCCAAAACCTTTGGTCTGGTCCCAGACGATGACCCAGACATTCGCTATATTGAGCTGGAAAGCCAAAGACGTCCGAATCGACTACTTCGCGAAGCGCCCAAGGAGTATGAGAAGCTCGAGCAGCTATTCCGCTGCCCTGAAGGTTCCCTTCGCGATATTCACTTCAGCCTGATTGCCAAGTTCCGAGATTGTCGCAGCCCAAGCGTACTAGCACACTTTAGCACACCGCGACTTGCGGATGTAACGTGACCTGCGATTCGTGAAGGTTGTTCCCGATCCGAGGTTCAGCCGTGATCGACTTTTTCAAGGAGATCGAGTACGTTTCTGTCAAGGGCCAACATCATTTTGAACAGATCAAGAACAGCTTGACCATTCAGCTGCGGGGGCAGAATGTCGAGAGGATGCTCCTGAATGAGGTCCTTGAACCGTGGCTGATTGAGAGTTTCTGCATTCCGCCGTTGTCCTGGCAACTTTCCATGCATTCTTAGTACTTCTTTGTGTCTTCTTCGCGTGCTCAGGAAGTCTGCAGGCTTGTTACCCCCTTCTTGACCAGATGCAATTCATTGGCAGACTTTGTGAAGAACCTTGTCGTCGGATTGGGCGACTTGCAGCCTCGCCATTTGGAAATTGCAAGCCGCGTCCATGACCAGCTTGGCCTGGTGCGGCGCTGGTTCTCCAGAGTCCAAGGCATACGACGTCGAGTTGTGTGCTGTAGTGACTACTGTAGTGTCTTTGCGACTATTGCTGTGGCACTACTGACTGGCCTTGCAAAGCGTGTCATCTCCTGAGTCTCTCATGGTCCCATGGTGTGTCCAGACAGATCGCAGGAGTGGAGGTTCAGTAGCCGAAATCCGTTATCAGCCAAACTCTGCGCTGCTGCATCTTCATCATGAAGTGAGCCTCAGACATCGATGTCCTGCCAGGCAAGTCATGGGAGAACGCGATGGCGACCTCCCGTGCACTGGATGAAACCGGGACCTTCGTGGTGCAGCTGAATGCTCTGGAAGGGAAGCCACACTCTGCCTGCGTCAACTATCTCTTTGACGGCTCCAGATCGGTTCGAGCCAGTTCCTCCAAGGTCCGAATGAGTGAGGCCGAGACACGTGGCTGGGCCAAATCAGTTTTAAGCTGCGGCTCGCAGACCTTCGTTCTGACTGGCACAGGCAATAGCCTAGTGTAGCACGACACATGCACTCCCAGGCGAATTGCTGCGACAGCTCGTGTTCCACAGTCTCTTGCCTGAACTGGTGTGCTTCATCCGGAAGATAAATCCAGGATGGCTGTGCTGAACAACTGCTCGCGCACTGAATAACAGAAGCAGTCATTGGAGCGATCTTGCACGGCAAACTAATTGCAGACCGAGGCAAAGGCCGCTCGAACCAAGCAGACGGACAGTCAGATTGCTACAATGCTGCAAGGACGTGCAGCAGAAAGTTGAAGAAGGCCGATCGTCCGTTGTCAAGTTGGACCTGTGAGCGTGATGCGAGCGGTTTCAATGCACTACTTGTTGCAGGTTTTCGAGATTCTCCAGTGCCTTCAAGACTTGGAAGCAAGCGGGCATCCTGAGTTTCAGCTCAAGGAGCTGGAATTCTCATTGGGCGGCTCTTTGAGCACCCTCAGTGGCGAGGCTGAAGACTTGAAGCGGCGGCAGGATGCATGGAAGTCGCTCCTGCAATCCTCGCGCGTGCAGTGTGAGCTTCTTTCTCTTTTCGATAGCCGCGAGTTGTTTGTCCTTATCGCGCTGAGCACCCCTGGCCATGCCCAACGTAAGAGGGTGGTCGAATCCCTGCTTGGCCAAACAGAGTGGCCGGAAGATGAGAACAGCAGGAAAAGCTTGGAGGCAACCCTCGCGGCCCAGTGCTTGGAAAGCCTCCTGCACAGCCTCAGAGATTTGGCGGTGGTGCCAAATGACTTGATGCAGAGGTTGATGAATTTCTGGAACTCCAAGTCTCTCCCCACCGAAGCACTGCCGCTGGAGCAGGCCATGAAGCAACTGCAGAAGACTTTGGAGAAGCTCGGGATTCAGGCAGCCAAGCGTGCCCTTGGAGGCGTCAGTCAGGGTCACTACCAAGCTGCCATGAGTTTGCCAGCAGATTCTTGGAGGTCGGAGATTAGCCTGTTGGCACGAGCTGGCGCAAAGTCAGACAGGTGCATTTTGCGATGCCATCCGTCGCTCCAACTACACGGTCTCGATGATTTCTTCCAACGGGTCGAGCTTGTGTCTGGGGGCACCTTCGTCGTCCTTGGCGTCAACAGTCTGCCGTTGCCTCTGCAGAAACGAGTTCAAGAGATCCAATGTCAGCTCCACGACAAGGAGAAAGCGCACGGCCGGGTCTTCTACACCTACACCGGGATCCAGGTGCCCCCACAGCCAGATTTCATTCACGAAATGACAGTGCAGCTTCTAGACGATGATGAGTTGCGGTCAGCATTCGGCACGCGAAAAGATAGCATCACGGTGGTGTACGGTCCTGCCGGTTCCGGGAAGACGGACATGCTGCACAGCACGCTCGGGAGCGACACGCCACTCCTGAGCATCACCGCCCATTTCGACGAGAAGCTTGCTCAAGTGACCATGAACAGATTGGCTGCGCAGGACCGGGGTATTGGCCTCAAGATATCCGAAGATGCCAACCACCTCTATGTCAACCGCCTGCTTTTCGACCTGCTAATTTGCCGAACCTGGCGTTTGTCCTCCAACGGGTCCGTCTTTGCAGCTGGGCCAAGCAAGCGGCTCACCTGGTGCATTGAAGTTCCAGATCTGACTTCAGATGGTCGCCCGACGGAGGATATGTCCCCAGCAGCTTCGACATTGCACATTTTCCCAGTGCTGAACATATGCCATGCAGAGCTCAAGATGATCTGTGACAATACGCATCAGCTGCGCGTCGGCACTGCCGAGCATTTCGTGGCAAAGTTCTTGCAGGCCGCCATCTGCCCAAGCCCAATAGCCTAATACCAGTAATTAGATTGTTAAGGTGTTGAGGACTTGTGAGCCGCTTCGGTAATGTTGGGCTTGTAGAACAGCAGCTTTCCACACTTGCCTTCAGGCAGGCCTTCCGCCTCTCCAGGGAGGACAACGAGCAATCGACAAATTGGGTTTCAACGTGCCCGTACGCCACCCGGAAGTCGTGGATGATTTCGTGTGCCGTCTCTTGGCCACATGGTTTGATGACGCTACTAGTTGTACTTGTGCCGTAGAATGCACCTAACAGACTACGAGCCTCGGAGCAATTCATGCGACTGAGGTCAGTTGATTTATGATGCTTTCAGGACAAGCTGCAGCCAGACTCCGAACAAGCGCAACATCAAGAGCTTTGTGCGCTACTTGGAACGACGCTTCCGCTTCTTCGAGAGTGACTTCTATATATACAACACAAAGTATTCTGGGTTGGGCAGTGCCGTGTTCGATCAAATGATACGGGAGGCTGCAATGCTGACGGCGACAGGTTTGGGGGTTGGTGCTTCCCATACCCCCAAGCCGATGCTAGTGTACGACAGCGGCTGGGCCCTGTACCTTTTCGAAGGGCGCGGCGAAGTTCCACGAGATCTTATAAAGTATGTCGCAGACGGTCGACAATACCTACAGCAGCCCGGGCGAGATATGTGCGTCGCTCGACTGGTTGAGTAATCAGCGGCTGCATCAAGTCCGGCATAGACATGCGCCTGACTTGCCTTTTTGCGTCAGCCAAATTTAGGAATCATGTTGCATGTGCAGTAAGCCGTACTGACATCCGCAAGTTAGAGGGCCTCGCGCAAGCTACCGAGGACAATGGGGCCGCCATGCTGGCATGGACGTTGGACTTGCAAGAAAGGGAGGTGAAAGAAGCTTGTTGCGAGCTTGGCTTCGTTCTGGTCGAGGACTGACTGAATGTTTGCTCACGAAAGGCCAGTTCCTGTGATTCCAACTTCAGGGATGTGTGTTTGACGACGTAAGTATGCCAAGACTCATTCCCTGCGCTGTGCTTTTGAGGACTTCACTTTTCGCCTCCTGTGCATTCACGAACGGCGTCTCGCTGGTGAGCCTGTGATCATTGAAGGCCTTACGGGTGTGGGCAAGACATTTCCGATCAAGGTCTACGCGCCAGTCTCAGCTTGGGTACCAGGGTAGCAAGGATGATTCAGCGGCTGTGATCGCACGTGAAGTGCTCAGGCCCACTTGTTGAACTACAAGCTACTGAAGAAGGAGCCCACGCTGCAAGATATTTTGCAGTCCATGCATTGCTCTCACAGACGAGAGGCGTGTCAAGAAAGCATTGGCCAACGAAGTGTGACAGATTAAGCTTCAGGACAGTGACTTTGACGAAGCACCAAGAACTACATGGCGAGTGAAGACGTGGCTACGAGAATCCATATTGCCACGAATAGGGGACCAACAAAAGCGGCATGAGCTCAACAACAGGCAGGGCCAGAGTCGTCTTTCTGTTGTTTTTCTCACGAAGCTGTAAATGATAATCTGGAGAAGCAATGACGGTGTTGTCAGTCCCTCGCCGGTTGTTTTTAACACAGCAAGCATCGCAAGCCCTTGCGAGCTACAAGTATGAGGCAGTTCTCTCAGCCAAGCAGCCGGTGCTCATGCTCTTCTTTGATTTACAAGTGTCTGGCTGTCTATCCGTCTGTTTGGCATAGCGCGAGGCTTCTGGAGTCGTCATGGACTGACACGGCTCTGCTGGTGGAGCTGTTTGAGAAGCTACAGGAGGACATGCATTTCGAGCCCCAAAAAAACGATGCTCAGAAACGTGTACGGATCTGGTGCAGGTCTAGTGAACCACTGTACGGCTTCGTGACCGACCCCGAAAGCGCCTTGCCGTTTGCCCGCTTCGATTCCTCGCAGGAGCTGGATGAGCTGCAACGCCAGGACACCGTCATCTCCTTACGGCGGAGTGTTGCGTGTGCTTTCCAAGGGTTTCCATGTTTGTCGGCCGAGGCAGAATTGCTGGCTCCGCCAGAATCCTTGGCCGACGAGCTCTGGGAGAAAGTGGCCGAGTGGCTGGATCAGTGCCCTCTGTTGGAGGCGCTCGGTGGCGGCCATCATCATAATAATAATCATGTGCATAGCCGTCATAGCTGTAGTAACCGAGAAAGTTCAATAGTCACAGAGTCATAGTCATATTTAATGTAGTTTTACAAGCTATGATTGAATCATGAGAATCAGAGTCGTTTGTACAATAAGCAGTGATAAGGCAAGACTCTTTTTCTTCATCATGATGTCAAGCCTCTTGTGCGTGGCTTTCCAGGCCTCACCCAGGCTTCGCGAGTACCTGGAAGAGATGTCGCCAACTCCTGGTAATGCCAGAGAGCTGCTGAGTCACTTGCTTGCTGGTCATGTTTCTGATGGGAGCTCTCTATCCAGCGTGTGGTTCTCGCGAGGTCGGGTAGAGGATTCATGACGGGCTCCGGAAACTGAACATGACACGGATGAGCAAGAGTTCTGCAACAGCGACCGAGGCCAATTTCTTCAATGCCCAGTGGCAAGCGTGTTCCACCGACTTCTGCTTCATCCTGACCTGAACGTCCCCGGATTGGAGAACTTCCTTGGGCCGATTCTTGACTTGGCCAAGCGAGTCCCCAGGGTGAAGCAGGTCGTGCTTTTCGACGAGCTGAACACGTCGGAGATCCTTGGAATTTTGAACGAGATCATTGTCGATCACACCTTCCAGGGAGTGGTGCTGCCGGACAACCTCTTTTTCTTGGGGTGTATGAATCCCTACACACCTCGCAACTCGGCTACCGGCGATGGCCTGGGAGACCAAGCTTTGGCTCACCGCGAGGAATACTTCGTCCATAAGCTACCGACTTCAATGATGGCCCACCGCTGGCAGTTTCCACCGCTCGAAAGAACGGAACTCCAGGAGTTCGTCAAGCAGAAGATCAAGCTCCAGTTCAGAGGATGCTCCTTCCTGGGTGAGCACTTGGAGAATCAGTTTGCGCTCTTGATGTGCAAATCCCAAGAGCTCTTCCTGCAGGAAGTAGGTCAGAGCTCTGTGAGCCAGCGCGACCTCCAACGATGCTTGATTGTGCTGGAGTACTTCCAGCGTCATTGGCCCGGCTCTGAACGGCCAAATGACAGAGTCATGCGGTGCATTCTGTTGTCGCTGGCCGTCGTGTACTACTTTCGGCTCTCGGATGGGTGCAACTACGGCATGGGTGACGAAGCAGTCGCAGGACGGTGCAAGGGGAAACTCAGCTTCCCCAGCCATTGCAGCACAAAGTATGAGTAGCATACCTAGACCTAGCTGGACCTAGCCGGTGTCATGTGTTTCCGGACAGAGTCGCACAGCTTGCAGGGCACGAGTTGAAGCAAGAGCTCTGCGAGTTGGTCCAGCAAGTCGTGGGCATGAACTTTCAAGAAGAGGCACGCTTTGGCGTTCAGTCTCATGTACTAACCCCCACAAGCTCCGAGGTACCCTGCATCTTGGGTTCAGGGAGAAGACTGACTTGGATTATAGACTTTAGCAGTTTTGGTCTTCGCATTGCTTGCGACTTAACTTGGTGACTTAGCCAGATGCGTGAAGGACGAAGTGTAGAGCAGTTGTGAGTCAGGGAGAAGCCATGTGCATGGCGAAGCTACAGCTGTAAGTCTGCATGTCAACCACTGTTGGTTCCCATGAGGCCGTGGGACACATGAGTACGAGAATTCATGCTTCCCGAACAGACAAGCAGCGGAGTCCGAATCAAGCTAGACAGCTTCGTGCTATATGCAGGTGACATACGGAGTGAACTGCTACATCTCTGAGCAGAACTTTCTGCTGCCGGAGGGAGTCGCACTGAATCGTGACCTGAAGGAGAACCTCTTTGCCATGCTGATTACAACCCAGACAAAGCTTGCCAGCTGCATTCTGGGCTCCCCTGGGCGGGGCAAGACTTTGGCCTTCGAGGTCCTTGTGCAAAATCTGCGTGGTGCGCAGTCGCCCAAGGAGTTTTGCAAGCGCTTCAGGGCTGTAGACCCTTTCTTCTATCAATGCTCTCCTGACAGCAAGGCTGCTGAAATCGAAGACATCCTGAGTGGAGCGACAAGACGGGAGCAGATGTACGAGCAACATGGCGGGAAGGAACGTTGTGTGCCCTTCTTTGATGAGGCACAGCTACCCCAGGAGTGCCGAATGGTCATGAAGCCTCTCCATGATGTGCTGGATGAACGGCAGGTGGCGACAATTATAGTTTCTGGCAGTCCCCTAGATGCTGCCAACATGAACCGAATGTCAATTTTCATCCGCCACACGCAGACACTGGAGGACTTCATGGAGATCGGATTGGGGGTGCTGGGCAAGTCGGGGATAGGCCGGCTGCCTGAACGCACTCACTCAATTCTGCGTGGCTTGGCGCGCGCATTCGTCGACATCCTCGCTGATCCTCGTTTCCGTGGGGTTTTCTCCCAGCGCCACTTCATTTCACTGCTCCGCAATTTGAGATTGCACTGTGTCGTGAAAAGAAAGCTCTTAACTCCCGAGCACATTTGCCGGGCAGTGGAAGAGAATTTCCAAGCTCCAGATGTGAGCATCTTGGCAGTGATGCAGATCTTTTGCCAAGCAATTGCCCGAGAATTCCCAGCCAGCAGCTCTGAGTTCGCAAGTGCAGGGGGCGTTGAATCTCTTCGTGGATGCTTGGACTTGGCTCGGGCCTGCATCTTCGGAGAGCGTGAGCAGTGCCTCACAAAAGGGAGCCCACACCTTGCGCCTCGCTTTTGCATCGTGCTAGATGACATGAAGGATGACAGTGCTTGCCGAATACTCGTCCAGGAAGAGGTGTTGCCTGAAGAGATTGAAGTCATCGATGTTCAGGACTACTCCAACGAAGCTGACGACTTCAGCTGCTCGGAATGTGTGTCCCAAATGACCCTCTGCATGGAATCGGGCAAGCCGGTCTTGCTGCGCAATTGCAGCTCGGGCAAATTACTGTGCAGTTTCTACAACCTCTTGAACCAGAACTATCGAGTGACGGAGTCCGCCGAGGGCCAGCAGATCCTGTACATCATGATTGCACATGGGCCTAGGGTGCACTACTGCCGTGTTCACCCCAGCTTCCTGTTGGTCTTGCAGATGCGAAAGGAAGACTTCCTGAACCAGCCTGCGGCTCTCAGATCTCGTTTCTCTGTGGTGTCTCTTCCTTTAGAGCAGGTCCTGCACGAACGCTTGGGCAGGGCCCTTGCTCGGGACGTCCAGCGGAAGGCGGTGAGAACAGCTCTGGACACCATCCTCGAGCTTGTGTCAAAGCTTGGTGCCAGATCTTTTGCGGGCTTGGTTGAGCACACTGTGGACTCTCTGCTGCTCTCAATGGTCTCCGGCCTTCAGAGCAACAAGAGGTGTCTGCATGAATTTGCAACTTTGTGCAGCGAAGGCCTAGAGCTCAACGCGAGCACGGCTGTACAAGTCATGGCAGTGAGGCTGTTGCAGCTACTGCCTCCGGAGCAGATGGTGAACCATGCCAGCAAGCTGGGGCACGCAGACTTCTACCGCAACGCCTACTTCCTCCATCAGAGCCACTTTTCACTTGTCAGTCTGCTTGCGACGGCGCGCACCAATGCCGAATCCTCTCTCCCGAAACTGGTGTTGTACACTCGCAGTTCAGCTGAGATTCGCATCCTACAGCAAAGCTGTGGAAAGAACACGCTCTGGGAATCTGGAGGCTCTGAGCATGTAATTGTCATCGATGCTGGTGAGGTGAGCACCACTGCTTCTCTCGAAGTAAAGCTCCAGGGAAGCTGTGCAGAAGCCTGGTCCGCGCATGCTGTGCTTCTCGTGGTGGACATGGAGCACTCCAGCAATGAGCGTGTCTCCTGCCTGCGCACCGTTGTGGATCGTAAGGCCAGGGAAAACCCTTCGACTTTGTTTGCAGTCCTACTACACTATGCGCCGGAGCAGGTCATCGCTGGAAGCCTGTATCCCTGTTTGTTCCTTGACGGCTGGGATTTTTTCTTCATCGACTCCCTCGGCCATTGTGCCGCTTTCGACGAGGAGTGCCTCATCAAGGAAGTCATGGCCGCTTCCGCTCAAGACGTTTCCCAGCGAAAGCTGCGCATCTTCAGCGAGGCGCAGAGCCAAGAGAAGTATGTCGTGGATTTCTGCAGGAGGGTCCGCACAGTTCCCAGCCGATCTTTGAGGCCTCCGGCACCGGAGCCCAGACCCGAAAACTCGACTTCAGTTTTCAGCTTCAGTAGCTTGGCGGCGACGGTCGGCAGGGGCATGGGCTACCTTTTCAACCAGATTCGGACTGGATCTTCAGATGAGCAGAAAGTGCAGCGTTTCTATGTGCCGGAGGCCACCAGGCAAGAAAGGACCAGTGCTGTCACCCTCGTGCTGCACAAGCATCCCCAGATCTGGCAGCACCTGCTCACCACCTTCCACGACTCTTTGCCTAAACCCACCTTGCACGGCCAACTCATTCATCTGGCTCAGCAAGTCCGTGATGGGCGCCGGCTCATGTCGTTTACCGATGCGTTGAGGTTGCAGCTGCATGGAGAATTCCGGCAGCACGCCACGAGCTACCTGAGAGCACTCTGCGCAAATGGGGGACTTCGCACTTTGATAGCAGATGACCATGGGGTGGCAACGTCTTTGCTCCCGTTCCTACCCGTTTGCTCCCAGACCGGGACGGCTTCAGACTCCTGGCTGAGCCGAGGGGCATCTAAGGCTAAAGCCATACATAGATAAGTCGTATATTGAGCCCTAAAGGCCGCCGCTGGCAAAGCACATGACCTCATGACCACTGTGTCTTAGCAAGTCTGAGGGTTGCCATGCCAAGGAGAAGTTCGTGGACATCCCTTCCGGATTGCAATCATGTGCAGCGTCTCCTTTGTTCCAGTATTTGCACATGAGCCTGGAACAGATGCTGCTGCATGCAGTCCGCCGCATTCAACCTGACCAGTGCGATGACCCAGCTCTTGTTTCCAGGTTGGCCGAACTGGCAAGAGACGACTCGCGCATGCTGGACCTGTGCCAGTCAGCACAAGATGGGCTGGTCAGGGAGTATGCCATATTTCTGTTGGAGAAAAGCTGTGGCGGACTAGCTGTGCCCAGTGAGATGCTGAGTCTTCAGCTAATGTGGCTTTTCGCACCCTTGCCAGCAGAATCGGACATCATACACCAACTATCATGTCTCTGCGCCAGCCATCATGCACATTCTCGCAGGCTTGGTAACTTGTCGACGGTTCTGCAACTGTGCAGCGAGTGCCCCCTGGGACAAGACGCAGTTGCCGCACTGGCGAAGGAGGCCGGTGGAGCAAACGGACTGGGTCCTCGATTTGGATGCAGTGTCACTGGGGCACAAGTAGAAGCTGAGCAGTCAGCCTATGATCTGGAGGAATGGCGCAAGCGCATGGAAGAACAAGCAACACAATGCTTGTGCAAATTGCTTTGGACGGAGCTGTCGCGAATCAGCCAACAAGAGACCGGTGAAAGCCATGCTGTTAAGGCATGGACCCGGCTCTACGCCCTTGCAGAGCCGCACTTGCTCGCAGCACGTATGCTAAAGAGAGGTCCTGCAGGTGGGCAGCTTCAGGTGATGTCCCTTTTTGTGTTTCTTTTGGGCAGCGACGCTTCATCCAGCATTCCGCTGGCGTGCCTTTGCGAGCTGAAAGTACGCCGGTGCCGAACGGGACTTCGCATCAGTTCTCATGGCTCTCAGCGATGTGTCGCTGGAAGAAAGCCAACTGGCAAGCGTTGCCAGGAGTTTGGTTGTGAAGATACTGTACCATCAGGGTGCTGACTTCAAAGCCAAGCTGGCTCCTGGAAGGCAAGAGGACATGCTCGCAAGCTTCTGGCGTGGATGGCCAAGAGGACAAGTCCTTCTCTCGGACGAGCTTGCAGTCCTCGCGATCTCGAAGCTTGGCCTGGATCAAATTGCAGAAGACTTGGTCTGCGAGGAGCGTCGATACCTGCCGCCATATGTTGCCCAAAGCCGGGACAATGCTTCCAGGCGGGATCTGTTCTACCCTGAGGTTGTAGACGACTCCGCACTAAAAGCTGTGTATAGGCTGTCTGCGGGTCGCCGCGGGTCTGCACAGCACAGCGTCATGTCTAGTCTAACATTAATTGTTTGGCATCGGAAGGTTGGCAGATCTCTGTTTCGCCTGGAGATGCGACGCCTTGTGCACAACAAACGGACGGTCTGGACTGCTAATGGCATTTAGCTCACGACAGAGACTTTTCAGCCCGATCCCGAGCTTGCCTTCATGTCCCATGGGAGCTCCGTCTCGCCCTCCTCTCTCTCTCGCTCTCTCTCTCTCGCTCTCTCTCTCTCTCTCTCTCTCTCTCTCTTTCTCTTTCTCCCCTCTCTCTTTCTCCATCTCGCTCGATTTGGTGTTCAAGCATCTCAAAAACGTCGCTACCAGTAAGGTCATGATCCGAGAGTCGTTGACTCAATCGAACTTGCAGCTTGGGAGTTTGTATTCACCAAGCACCTGGCACGACTCTTGAGTGAAGACGACGTGCAAGTGGACGATTTGCTTCGCTGCTCGGTAGCAAGGCCAACAAAACTTAATCTTGGGACAATTCGCAGCCAAGTCATGCTGAGTATACCACCCAACTTTGAGGGACATGGAGTTCATTCTTAAAGCTGTCAGGTCAAGACGCTGCCCTTCTGCGTGAAGCCTCGCAACTTTTCTTGGCGGCTCACGGTCCAGTCGCCTGCCTCAGAACAGTCCTTGGCCAGCGGCCTCGAAAAGCACGTGCTTTTGTGACGTTTCACTGTGCGCAGCTCTGTGAGTAGCTATGGAAGCTAGCCGTGGTGTTCCGGGCAGTGTGAATAACAGGTGTTTCTGAAGGAGGTGTACTACCAGCGCGGCTGGCAATACCTTCAGGCTCGAGATTTTGACTGTAACTTGGTCAGCAGCGCTGGCTGGAATTTGGTGCATGGTCAGCAGGAGCTGTTGCAGCGCGAGGATGTGAGAACTGCAGATGCCTGAGCTCGGCAGCTGTGACGATTGCGAGGCTAGCCGGTTGTATCTTGTCGTGGGCCGGGGCTGAGGCCATCCCAGCCGTGCCGGAAATCTTGCGTCTTCTGTCCCAAAGTGATTGTCATGCTCAGAATTCCACAAGCCGTTGGAGCTGCTCGGCGAAACACCAGACTTCACAGCTTCAGATGGCCATTGCATCGAGCGAGGCCGCTCAGCATCTTGGAGACTGGCTTTGCCGACTTTCCTGTTCCTCCCATCCAATTCATGGAGCACTGCGGCTACTGGGCAGCATATGTAGTTGCTCAAGACTGCACAACTCCATCTAGGAGGAGGTTTGAGTGTAAGGCGCTTTGTGTAGTGAAGTGCTGAAGAACCAAAGATAAGTGCGCCACATTGGGTTGACCTGCTGCAGGAGGCAGACTATCGATCCTTGTCGAGCTTCTTGCAAGATGCTTTGGCCAAACCTGGCGAAGATTTGATGTTCAAGGCTTGTGTTAGTCTTCGTGATGCACGGGGCCCGGGACATGTCAAGACCATGCGTCTTTGCTGCAGGCAAGATGTCTCATGCAAGCTGTTCTTGGCAGCTTTGCTCGGAGAGCCCATACCACTTTTAGCCAGCTGAGGTTGATCCTGCTAGTCTATCACGGCCGCCAGGATCAATTTATAAGCGGGAAAGGGGTAACAGCATGCATCCGCCTAGCAGCCCAGCAATCACCCCGAGGCTACTATACGTTGGAGGCCAATGCGAGCCTCCACATGATGCTGGAATGGCTACCCAAGTTGGCGCAAGCGCTGGACATGTCAGATGAGGAGCGTCACATCTTCGCCTGCTTGATTGATCCAGCGGGATACCAGCCGGGCTACAACTTGCAGAATTCTGTCGCTCAGATGCCCCCTGCATGTCATTACGCGACTTGCAGCGACTGCAGGGCAATTCTTGACCAAGGCAAGATGTGCAGGTGAGCCTGAAAGTGTCATGGTCGCTTGTTGTGCTTCCGTCGCAGACTACATGATGACATGGCCAGTAAGGAAGCTTAGACTCCTCAAACCATCAAGGGATTCTGCGGACAGCGATCAGTCGTTTCTCACTTGCTGAGTAGAGGTCCCCAACCCCATAGCATCCTGAGGAGTTGGATGGATACAACACATAGCCCACTTGGTTCATGAGCGAGGGGAGGTGGGTGGGTGGGCGGGTGGGCCAGGCAATCGATGATCGGCTTCCAGACACAAGCGTACGTGGAATACGTGCATGTCACGGCATGTCACTGTGAGTAGCGGTAGGAGTTGCTGTTCGCACATCTGGCGCCCCTGACCTGCACAGTCAGGTTCCAGCTCGACTGCAACGACCAGCTGCAGGTGCAGGTCCGCCACTGCCTTGTCAACGGCCTTGCTTGCTGCCTGTCGATGCAGGGTGACAGGAGGTATCATTTCTGGCAGCATGTTGTCGACCCTGGATCTTTGCACGGCACGTACGGATTTGGCAGCACCTCAAACAGAGCGATCGGAAGCATCCACTATGACTGCGGATGTGTCTTCGAGTTTGACGGGAAGCTGCGGAGAATGGAGGCCAATCCCCACTGGCCCGCTCCAGCCGCAGTGGCCAGCTACTTCCAAAGTTATGGAGCCTTCTGCCTCAGTTTCGCCTTTTTTCCAGATGTTGCCGTCAGCTTGTTAGACCGGGTCTTGACCCCTTCATCCATCCACTCCCAGCGTGAGAGCCTTGGACCCCGAAGAGTAGAAGACGGGTGTTCTGTGACGTTCTAGCCGATTTTAGCCGGCTTGACTTCAGTATGCGCCTTTTGAGGACATACCTGAATGCACACGGTGAGAGCCAGTCGGACCGGACAGCGAACTTCTGCTACCAGCGTACAGCTACATCCTGGGAGTTCCTTCAAGCTCATCTGCAGCTTGCAGGAGAGCACGTGCAGGTGCCTTGCATGCAAGCAGTGTCCAAAGGCCCCTGTCGTGTACATAAATAGTTTAACAGATGCTTCGGCTGCGACTTGTTTCATGTTGCAGCTTCACAGTGTCAGGTATTGATGAATCGGATGTTTGAGCGCATCGCGGCCGAGTGCTTCCAGTCAGATTGTGCTTTCAAAAGCCTATACGTGGATGCTGGTGCACAGACGGATGCTGAAACAGTCTTTCGTGACATCCTTTCTGAAGAGCTGCACAAGCTGCCGGAGAAGATGGACCGTTTACAACAGAGCAACCTATCAGAAGTCATGAGGTCTGTGCCCCGCAGGGCGACGTTCTCCGACCTTGAGTTGGCACTTGCCGAACTGGCAGACTTCAACGTCGAGGCCCGGCTGCTTCTTCGATTCTGTGCTGCCCGCGATGCTTCTCGGAGGAAATCGAAAACATGTTGAGTCTCTCTTTTAGCCGGCTTCGGCGCTGCTTATTGTTCGGTGCCTGGTCCAAGCAAGGATCTGGGATTGATGTCTCTGGTTCCACCCATCATGCGGTTTTACATCTGGCTCCATGCCGACTTCGGCGATTTCATCTGCAGAAAAGGCAGGTCCTGCGAGGAATTTGGCAGTCTGAGCGTGCGGCAGGCGCTTCAGGACAGCGTTGGGTAAGCCAACCCGCGTATACACATACGCACTCTCCCTCCTGTGTGACGAGTGTGCAGGAGTACTACTCCCACCGAGAGAGGCCCGTGGGTCAGCCACACGGAGATCGCCTCTGCGGCGAAGCCCTACAAGCCTGCCGCAGCTTCCACAAGGCCACGAATGGCATCCTGCCTGTTGGTGGCTGCGATGAGCCTGCACGCTGCTGGGCTTTTCGTGGCCTTTCCTTGTCCTTGCCATGATGCGAGTTGCTTCCATTGATCGCCAAGCCGAGGCCTGCCAGTCCTCGACCTGGAGACGCCGGTGCTGGACATGTTGTCCCTGCACGGAACCCACGATGGTCACGACTTCCTGTTCCGGATCATGGAGTACCTGTTGAAGAGAAGGCAAGCGTACCTGGATGCTGTGGAGATTATCTGCCAAGAGCCCGAGGCACCTCCGGCCTTGCGGCAAGCCCTGAGCTTGCAAGGAACTGCAACTCTCCAAGCGGTGGTAGCCACCTCCTTGCTGGACCTGGAGTGCTCGATGGGCGTCGACAGATTTGATGACCTTGCGGTAGCCGCATGCCTGGATCCTCTGTGTGAGGAAAAGACATCCTTCGACACCAATTTGCTTGCGCGCCATGTTCTGCAGGCCACATGGACAGGAAAAAGCCGGCTGGACTTAGCAAGCATCCACAATGGTCTGCGACTTAAAAGTCACAAGACGGATGCCCAACAGATTCAGGATTGTTTGGAATCGCTGGCTGATAGATTCAAGCAGCCCCCGCCCTGTGACCAAGTGGTCCAAGTCTTGGACGGATGCCTGCGAAGCTGCAGGCATGCAGATCTGTTGGGAAGTGAGCAGGCATTCGAGAGGGCTGCCCTGCTCCTGGACGAGGCGGATAACCTGGAGAGCGACGATCTTCTGCAAGCGCTTGAGTCGATTGGGATCCAGCTGCCACGGGCGCTTGTGGAAGCCTTGCAAGACACGACGCGTCCTGGAGCCAGCTCATCAAGCTCCTCGAGTTCCACAACCGCTACTTCCGTGCCAGGTGTGTGGAAGATGAAGCACCTGGCCGTGGTGTGGAAAATGATCCGTTCCAAACTCAACATTCGGGACTTTGCCTTTGTTCAGGTGCCAGACGCACTACGACGCTCCAGAATTGAAGACACGGCATCGGACGAGATTGCACACAGAATGCAGTTGCTTTGCCCAGCTGTTCAAGACATCGACTTGGCCCTGTCAGCGTTGCTAAGCCTCATGGGAAGGATTCTTGATTTCAAGGACCGTCCCATTCACCAAGTGGCAGAAGATGCTGCTTGCGATGTGCCTTTGCTGCTGGCCCTGCCAGACTCCCTCGTAGGCTAAACTTGGGCAAACTAAAAGCTCCGATCATGCTGAAATGTATTCTACCAGTAGTGCTAGCGGTGAGCGTGCTGATTGAGTGCGCACTCACGCCTTGCAGGCTACCATTATCGAGCGCTGTGTCTGCAGTTGTGGGAAGCGCGCGAGAGACTATCAAAGCGCGAGAGACTATCACAGCTGGGTGAAGCAGGCGACATTGGCGACATGCCATGCATCAGCGCCCTTTGGTGGGAAGGTGCCTGTGCAACAGTTCAAAGAGTGCGCACAAGAAGAGTTGTTATCGCGTAAGCGTGAAGTGCGGAGTTGGACAGATCGAGCAAATCGGTGCTCTCGCGCTAAGTTGCTCCGCAGTTGCTGGGAGATGTGGGCAGACACGGGGCATGGGAGGTTTGGGGAAGGGCAAGTCCTGTAGCGACGCAGCTATCCTTTGGCAGGCCCTATGGAGTCAGTCCAGCCGTTCTCGGAGCATGATCATGCACCCTTGGACCGTGCTGATGCTGCGAGCTCCCATTATGACGACGAACATGCTGGAGACGCTGGCATGCTTGAGGAGGTCGAGGTGGAACAGGGCAGCATTGCGGAGTACCAGCCTGCTGGTGCAACCTCGAGTTCCCGGTCGCAAGCTCACAACAACATGTTCACTTGGTGCGAAGAGGACTGGGTTCAATTCTGTTCATTCGACTCGTCTAACAGCCCAGCTACCTGTAGCATCAGCTGACCAAACCTTCGCGGCTTCACGAACTTTGCCGGGCTCTCTCCCCGTTGTTCCCTTCAGGATGATCAAGCCCTCGATCACTCAGAGCAAGAACAGGCTGCCACTATCATTGCTAGAAACGTGCGCTCCTGGCTTCTGCTGCGGCAGCAGTGTCGAGAGCTACGCCTGCTGGCTGAAAGTATGTACAAGTCCGTGCATTCAGACATGGTCGCGTTGTTTGTTGGCCTCGACATGACGACATGCCTTGTGTTTCAATGATTTGTTGGATAAGACACAGGAGTCTTGGAAGCCGCAGCTGCCACGAAGCTGCAGCACTTTTGGCGCAAGCTCAAGCTGAACCTGGAGGAGCCAAGTACTAACTTCAGCTGTGTAAGCTTATTGCTCGAAGTAGTATGTCGGTTGCTGAGCTGTGCTGATTCCAGTGCTGATGCTATGCCGAAAGAAAGAGAACTGTTGAAGTTTCAACGCGAGGAAGCAAACAAACTTCGTCATTGTGCTGCCTCAGTCGTTCAGCATGGCTGGAGGCTCGCATGATCTCAACTCTGTGTATGATGCCGCGTGAGTCCGAAGTGTGCACGCAGTGGCCAGGAGGTAGGGATGGGTCAGGTGCTATTGCTATCTCATTCGTTTTCTTACAGCCCGCGGTTGCATTTCAATGCGTTCGAGCTGCATGGCATGCCAAATTACACTTCTTGACATACAAGTGTGACCGCCGTCCCTTCAATGCGTTGCTTGTCGAGGCATAGGGCTGAGCGACTTCATGCAACGAAACTTCGGCTGTCTGCCGTCTCAGTCATTCAGCGTCGCTGGAGGCTCGCATCATCGCAACCCTTCAAGCTGTGTTCATCCCATGCTTTAGATTTGGCACGGTGCTTCGCGGTGTGTTCTCGTGGGGCGGTAGCTGCAGTCTGACTTGTTTCCATAGTACTTATGCAGTAGCACCGTTTAACACAAGCTAAAGACATCCGGAGAAACTCTGCACGTGCATGACATGGGCCCGCTGTCCCCTTTCCGTCGTGAAGGCTTCGGGCTGAGCGACTTCACTGTCAAGAAAGTACGACTCGAAAGTTGTGGGCAGCTCAGTCTCGTGACAAGTTGTAAGGTGTCACTCGAGCTGTGGCTTTGGATTGGGGCATTGGGCTCAGCCCTCTCACCGACCATGTTGTCAGATGGTGAGGCTTTTAAAGAGTGCGTTCCGGCACTGGCACACATTTGGGCAGCGCGGTTGTCTACGGATGGATACTTCAGGACGATGCGTTTGCAGTCATGAGGAAAAGCTTCCCGATAGTACTGTGAGGCTTTGAAACTTGATTTCAGCGTGACAGGAGGTGTGCGCGAGTTGAGACGGTCGCCCGTGCCTGCTGAACTGCTTGTGCAGACGGTGAGCACGGCAGCCGTTCAGCAGCCGGACACGAGCGGGAGACTGGCGATGAAGTGGAATGTGAGCCTCCTGGCTGCTTTCAATATGTAGGCAAGAAACACATGGGAGGTGCAAGTGCTAGAACCTAGCAGCTTCTATCACCTGAGATCTTACCACCGGTAGGCCGCTTTGCCTGCTGAGGATATGATGTCCATTCTGCATCACACGAAAGAGAGGGTGGCCTGACTCTTTCGGCGAAGCCTGCGAAGCTTTTGCCCCATGCGATCAGGAAGTTCAACTTGCGAGCCTGGGCTGAAAAAGTGTGCGTTTGCCAGGAGATGCTAAGGGGCCTGGTTTCGCATTGCTTGTTCTTTGCTGTTGTTGTCGCATCAAAGCGAATGCCTTCAGCAAAAGCACATCCCAGCATCCAAGTATCCGACAAGGCCCAGGGCAGGAGGAGGAGGAGGAGGATGCCTTCTTCTTGGTTTCCAACGACCAGGAGGTGGAAGCCCGCGATGCTCCGCAGCACACAGACTTGAGGCTGGTGCAAGCTGACGAGGCACTAAAATGGGTCAGCAACAGGTTTCTGTCCGCACCGTCTCGGGCATGCCTGAAATGCGTACAAAGTTGGTTCGACATGGTGTTTGCCACGCAGGTGGTCGGCGTCGAGGTTTTGGCAGTTAACACGGAGGAGATCACATGGACGAAGAGGATGTGCAAGGATGCCACCTTGCTGCAGGTCGCAGCACTGCTTCAACGGGATGGCCAGATG